TTGTGGTAGCATCTTTAGGATACTTTATGTATACTCTCATGTCACCTGCAAACAGTGACAGCTTTAGTTCTTCTTTTCCGATTTGGATTCCTTTTATTTCCTTTTCTTCTCTGATTGCTGTGGCTAAAACTTCCAAATCTATGTTGAATAAGAGTGGTGAGAGTGGACAACCTTGTATTGTTCCTGATCTTAGTGGAAATGGTTTCAGTTTTTCACCATTGAGGACGATGTTGGCTGTGGGTTTGTAATATATGGACTTGATTATGTTGAGGAAAATTCCCTCTGTGCCTACTTTCTGCAGGTTTTTTACCATAAGTGGGTGTAGAATTTTCTCAGAAGCTTTCTCTGCATCTATTGAGAGGATCATACAGTTTTTCTCCTTCAATTTGTTAATATGGTGTATCACATTGATTGATTTGCGTATATTGAAGAATCCTTGCATTCCTGGAATAAACCCCACTTGATCATGGTGTATGATCCTTATAATGTGCTGTTGGATTCTGTTTGCTAATATTTTGTTGAGCATTTTTGCATCTATTTTCATCAGTGATATTGGCCTCTAGTTTTCTTTCTTTGTGACATCCTTCTCTGGTTTTGGTAGCAGGGTGATGTTGGCCTCGTAGAATGAGTTTGGGAGTGTTTCTCCCTCTGCTAGATTTTGGAGGAGTTTGAGAAGGTAAGTGTTAGCTCTTCTCTAAATGTTTGATAGAATTTGCCTGTGAAGTCATCTGGTCCTGGGCTTTTGTTTGTTGGAAGATGCTTAATCACAGTTTCAATTTCAGTGCTTGTGATTGGTCTGTTCATATTTTCTATGTCTTCCTGATTCAGTCTTGGCAGGTTGTGCATTTCTAAGAGTTTGTCCATTTTTTCTAGGTTGTCCATTTTTTTGGCATAGAGTTGCTTGTAGTAATCTCTCATGATCTTTTGTATTTCTGCAGTGTCACTTGTTACTTCTCCTTTTTCATTTCTAATTCTATTGATTTGAGTCTTCTCCCTTTTTTTCTTGATGAGTCTGGCTAACGGATTATCAATTTTGTTTATCTTCTCAAAAGACCAGCTTTTAGTTTTACTGATCTTTGTTATCATTTCCTTCATTTCTTTTCCATTTATTTCTGATCTGATCTTTATTATTTCTTTCCTTCTGCTAACCTTGGGGTTTTTTTGTTTCTCTTTCTCTAATTGCTTTAGGTGCATGGTTAAGTTGTTTATTCGAGATGTTTCCTGTTTCTTCAGGTAGGATTGTACTGCTATAAAATTCCCTCCTAGGACTGATTTTGCTGCATCCCATAGGTTTTGGGTCGTCGTGTCTCCATTGTCATTTGTTTCTAGGTATTTTTTGATTTCCCCTTTGATTTCTTCAGTGATCACTTCATTATTAAGTAGTGCATTTTTTAGCCTCCATGTGTTTGTATTTTTTACAGATCTTTTCCTGTAATTGACATCTAGTCTCATAGCATTATGTTCGGAAAAGGTACTTGATAAAATTTCAATTTTCTTAAATTTACCAAGGCTTGATTTGTGACCCAAGATATGATCTATCCTGGAGAATGTTCCATGAGCAGTTGAGAAAAATGTGTATTCTCTTGTTTTTAGATGAAATGTCCTATAAATATTAAGTCCATCTTGTTTAATGTATCATTTAAAGCTTGTGTTTCCTTTTTTATTCTCATTTTGGATGTCCTGTCGGTTGTTAACCAATGGGGTGTAAACGTCCCATACTATGAATGTGTTACTGTTGATTTCCCCTTTTATGGCTGTTAGTATTTGCCTTATGTATTGAGGTGCTCCTATATTGGGTGCATAAATATTTACAATTGTTATATCTTCTTCTTGGATCTATCGCTTGATCATTATGTAGTGTCCTTCTTTGTCTCTTGTAAATGTCTTTATTTTGAAGTCTATTTTGTCTGATGTGAGAATTGCTACTCCAGCTTTCTTCTGATTTCCATTTGCACGGAATATCTTTTTCCATCCCCTCACTTTCAGTCTGTATGTTTCCCTAGGTCTGAAGTGGGTGTCTTGTAGGCAGCATATATATGGTCTTGTTTTTGTATCCATTACACCAGTCCGTGTCTTTTGGTGGGAGCATTTAATCCATTTACATTTAAGGTAATTATCAATATGTTTGTTCCTATTCCCATTTTCTTAATTGTTTTGGGTTTGTTATTGTAGGTCTTTTCCTTCTCTTGTGTTTCTTGCCTAGAGAGGTTCCTTTAGCATTTGTTGTAAAGGTGGTTTGCTGGTGCTGAACTCTCTCAGCTTTTGCTTGTTTGTAAAGGTTTTAATTTCTCCATCAAATCTGAATGAGATCCTTGCTGGGTAGAGTAATCTTGATTGCAGTTTTTTCTGCTTCATCACTTTAAATATGTCCTGGCACTCCCTTCTGCTTTGCAGAATTTCTGCTGAAAGTTCAGCTGTTAACCTTATGCGGATTCCCTTGTGTGTTATTTGTTGTTTTTCCCTTGCTGCTTTTGATATTTGTTCTTTGTATTTAATTTTTGATAGTTTGATTAATATGTGTCTTGGCATGTTTCTCCTTTATTTATCCTGTATGGGACTCTCTGTGCTTCCTGGACTTGATTAACTATTTCCTTTCCTATATTAGTGAAGTTTTCAACTCCAATGTCTTCAAAGATCTTCTCAGTCCCTTTCTTTTTCTCTTCTTCTTCTGGGACCCCTATTATTCGAATATTGGTGCATTTAATGTTGTCCCAGAGGTCTCTGAGACTGTCCTCAGTTCTTTTCATTCTTCTTTCTTTATTCTTCTCTGCAGTAGTTATTTGCAGTATTTTATCTTCCAGGTCACCTATCCGTTCTTCTGCCTCAGTTATTCTGCTATTGATCCCTTCTAGAGTAGTTTTAATTTCATTTATTGTGTTGTTCATTGTTGCTTGTTTCCTCTTTAGTTCTTCTAGGTCCTTGTTAAATGTTTCTTGCATTTTCTCTATTCTATTTCCAAGATTTTGGATCATCTTTAGTATCATTATTCTGAATTCTTTTTCATGTTGACTGCCTATTTCCTCTTCATTTGTTAGGTCTGGTGATTTTTTGCCTTGCTCCTTTATCTGCTGTGTGTTTTTCTGTCTTCTCATTTTGCTTATCTTATTGTGTTTGGGGTCTCCTTTTTGCAGGCTGCAGGTTCGTAGTTCCCGTTGTTTTGGGTGTCTGTCCCCAGTAGCTAAGGTTGGTTCCGTGGGTTGTGTAGGCTTCCTGGTAGAGGAGACTAGTGCCTGTGTTCTGGTGGATGAGGCTGGATCTTGTCTTTCTGGTGGGCAGGTCCACATCTGGTGGTGTGTTTTGGGGTGTCTGTGAACTTATTATGATTTTAGGCAGCCTGTCTACTAATGGGTGGCATTGTGTTCCTGTCCTGCTAGTTGTTTGGCATAGGGTGTCCAGCACTGTAGCTTGCTGGTCATTGAGTGAAGCTGGGTCTTGGTGTTGATATGGAGATCTCTGAGAGATTTTTGCCGTTTGATATTACATGGAGCTGGGAGGTCTCTTGTTGACTGGTGTCCTGAAGTTGGCTTTCCCACCTCAGTGGCACAGTCCTGATGCCTGGCTGGAGCACCAAGAGCCTTTCATCCACACAGCTCAGAATAAAAGGGGGAAAAAGTATAAAGAAAGAAAGAAAAGAAGAAAGAGAATAAAATAAAATTAATTTAAAATAAATTTATTAAAATAAAAAAGAATTATTAAGAAAAAAATTTTTTAAGTAAAATATAAAACAGACAGGATCCTAGGACAAATGGTGAAAGCCAAGCTATACAGACAAAATCTCACACAGAAACATACACATACACACTCACTAAAAGAGGAAAAGGGGAAAAAATAATATATCTTGCTCTCAAAGTCCACCTCCTCAATTTTGGATGATTTATTGTCTGTTCAGGTACTCCACCGATTCAGGGTACATCAAGTTGATTTTGGATATTTAATCCGCCTCTCCTGAGGCTGCTGGGAGAAATTCCCCTTTCTCTTCTTTGTTTGCACAGCTCCTGGGGTTCAGCTTTGGATTCGGCCCCGCCTCTGCATGTAGGTCGCCTGAGGGCGTCTGTTGTTTGCTCAGACAGGACAGGGTTAAAGTAACAGCTGATTTGGGGCCTCTGGCTCACTCAGGCCAGGGAAAGGGAGGGGTACGGATGTGGGGAGAGCCTGAAGCGGCAGAGGACGGCATGACGTTGCAGCAGCCTGAGGCACACCATGCGTTCTCCCGGGGAAGTTGTCCCTGGATCGCGGGACCCTGGCAGGGGCGGGCTGCACAGGCTCCCATGAGGGGAGGTGTGGAGAGTGACCTGTGCTCGCACACAGGCTTCTTGGTGGCAGCTGCAGCGGTCTTAGCGTCTTATGCCCATCTCTGGGGCCCGTGCTGATAGCCGCGGCTCACGCCCGTCTGTGGAGCTCCTTTTAGCTGCACTCTTAATCCCCTCTCCTCACGCACCAGGAAACAAAGAGGGAAGAAAAAGTCTCTTGCCTCTTAGGCAGGTCCAGAGTTTTTTCCGGACTCCCTCCCGGCTAGCTGTGGCGCACTAGCCCCCTTCAGGCTGTGTTCATGCTGCCAGTCCTCTCCCTGCGATCTGACCGAAGCCTAAGCCTCAGCTCCCAGCCCCGCCTGCCCCGCCAGGTGAACAGACAAGCCTCTCAGGCTGGTGAGGGCTGTTCAGCACCGATCCTCTGTGAGGGAATCTCTCTGCTTTACTCTCCGCACCCCTGCTGCTGCGCTCTCCCTCCATGGCTTCAAAGCTCCCCGCCTCCACCACCCGCAGTCTCCGCCAGCAAAGGGACTTCCTAGTGTGTGGAAACATTTCCTCCTTCACAGCTCCCTCCCACTGGTGCAGGCCCCGTCCCTATTCTTTTGTCTCTGCTTATTTTTTTTTCTTTTGCCCTATCCAGGTACGTGGGGAGTTTCTTGCCTTTTGGGACGTCTGAGGTCTTCTGCCAGCGTTCAGTGGGTGTTCTGTAGGAGTTGTTCCACGTGTAGATGTATTTCTGATGTATCTGTGGGGAGGAAGGTGATCTCCTCGTCTTACTCTTCCGCCATCTTCCCCCTCACCTCCGGTTATAACATTTTAATTTATATTTTTAAGTAGGGCACAGTGGAATGGGACGTGAGAGATCAGCCCTTTTCCTTTTCTTTTGTCTCTTCAATCTTTTCTCCTACTCCCTAATTAATATAAATTGCTTCCTTCATTTCTTCCCTTACTCCTCTAAAGTCAGAAGTGAGAGCAGATGGTAGTGTGGTTGGAATAGATAAATGTGATCAACAGTGAGGGAGAACCTGTCTTAGTCACTTTTTTCTTTCAAAAATACAAAATGTATGCTTTAAATTGAGAATTATAATCACTTCACAAAACTGCATTAAGGAAAACATGTATGTAGAAAGTTTATGTACAAATATTTTATGCTGTAGGGATTGTAGCAAAATTAATACATTTTCAAGCATATTTTATATTTCCTCCAATTTATTTTATATATTTTTTAGCTTTGCTCTATAGGCTTAAGTAGGGGTGATGGTTTATTTCTTGAATGTATGATGGTTTTTATGAGGAATGGAAAAAGCCTTAATTGGCAATGGCAAATAACCTAGAATCCCTGGAATTATTAATAGTTTGGACAATTATTATTTTCAGTCAGTCTCAATTAAACTTTCCATCGTTATATTTAATGTGTTAAATATTTAATAAACTTTTATTTTAAGAATTTGCTACACATAAAAAAACATACTAAACTTTGCAAGACTCCAAATATTAAAATAAATGTACCATCTCTCTGAACAGTTAACTAAAAATAATCTAGCTTAAAGTCATATTAGTGTTTTCTAATAATATGGGTTGTAAGATCTAAATAAAGAAATGTATAAGAAAAATCCCTTTGTGTTATGTATTCTATTAAGATTTACTATATTTAATTTCTGTGAAAATAATTACTTGTTTAATTATTTTATGGAGTTTTCTTTTCAGTTTAAGTGCTCAATGGTATGATGATGTTCAGTAGTTTATGATCATTAACACCAGAAGGACTCATTTTTTAAATATAATTGTTTAAAATTTTCTGATGCATTAAGAATAAATTCAGAATAAAATATCATTTGTTATTATAATCTGTCTAAATTCTGGAGTAGACTTAATTGCAATAGTAGAATTAGTTGCAATAGTCAAATAGTACAATAGAATTTCACGTGAAGTTATTACATTGTTTTCCTCATTATAAAGTCTTCCTAGAGACTTTATATTCTATTGATTTCACACCCCTTTCAATAATGTGCTAGATGGATTGAATCATTTGCATGGCCTGGACATATTATTGTTCTGTATTTCTGCTCCAAAGAAAAGTACCCATTTTGAGTGATATGTGGCTTTTTTATTTTTTTCTCCTTTCTTTCTTTCTTTTTTAATAGATTTTTAGTGAGTTTGAGATTGAGCAGCATCAAGAATGTGCTTATGATCATTTGGAAGTATTTGATGGAGAAACGGAAAAATCACCAATTCTTGGACGACTGTGTGGGAACAAGATACCAGAGCCCCTTGTGGCTACTGGAAATAAAATGTTTGTTCGGTTTGTTTCTGATGCATCTGTTCAAAGAAAAGGCTTTCAAGCCACACATTCTACAGGTCAGTAAATTAGGGGATGCTTCTCTTTTCTGAGTAAGATCCAAGTTTCTCTTCTAGTGTGTGCAGGGGATCTATAACAGGATTATAAATGAATCAGAAGAAGTCTCACTGAAGTACTGTGTGAAATGTTTGAGAACCACATAGCATCCTAACTAAATATCTTTGTAGCTGTTGAACTAATTAAAAGAAACACAATAGTTTGATCTGATTCATGTTCAGTGTGGTATGATCAAGAAGAACTATCTCTAAATATTTATATAGTGTATTCCATGTTAACTTTAGCAGTTTGATTTATATGTTATATTTAACAGATAGAAATCTATAGCTTGGAATTCAAAAATTTTGTTTTTGCTAAAATCCTACTTGTTTAGTTAACTTTCACATTAATATATTTTTGTAAACCAAATTTGGAATTTAACTCTCTGTTTTACAGAGTTTTATTTTTTTCCCTTTTATTTGGTAGGCAACACAGTCTTTTCCCTAATCCTAATCCCTAATTTGACTCTTACAGATTCCAGCTGTAATGGAAGTCTTTAAGAAATAAAATACAATTTAGAAAAATATGGAAAATTTTAAGCAAAAATGTCAAATAACTTTTTTATAATTTGGATCAAATTTATAATATATTCCATAAATGTCCAGTAAATATCCTTTTTTTATTCAGTTTAAAATATATATATATATATATATATATATATATATTTACTGAAATCATTTAGCTTATAGTGACACCTAGTGGCAGTTCTAATGCCAAAACTATTGAGACACATCTATCTTGGTGTAAAATGCAGTATATAATAGGCTACAAATTCATCAATGAAACAATTTTAGTGCAGTAATTTTTGTCATGGTTTCCTGATTATTGTTTTCTCCTTTCCTTTTATTTTAGAAAACATAACTTTATTCCATTGTCCAATATTATTTTCCACTCTAGTATATTCTGTTATGAGCATTAGATTTATATTGAAGCCTATTTGTGAGAAAGTGGATATTGTCTGATTCATGCTAGTAATGACTGGACTCATAAATAATACAAAATAATTATTTCTCATGATTAATATAAATATTCTGGTTCGAGAAAAATCTTTCATGGATTAAAATTTTCATACTAATGGATTTTTTTATACACTTGATGTTTGTTCTTTAAATATTTTCCTGATAACTTGTCACACATTGAAGGAATGGAAAAATTGGAGTCCTATGACTTGATCAATATTTTTCTGAAGCACAGAGTTAATGGCACAATTTTTTAAATAATCGTGGCTGTCACAGGTTCTAAGAATGGAGTGTAAAAGTATATTATCAAAACTCTTGAAAGAGCTGATACACTATTTTTAAATTACTTACCTATAAATTCCTCTGTCTTAGTTTCATAAAAACCTACTTTTATAGTTTCTCTTTTCATCTTTACCTTTATCTTAAATCTCAAGTTTTCTTGCAGCTGTATAACTCCATGACTCCTTAATTTTCATAGCCTCTGCTCTGGACCCATTTCAGTGTTTGTATTACCATTTAGGATCCACTGTTAGGATCTAATTATCTTATCATAGAGATCATATATTGAAATCCAATTGTATATATAGCATGCACTTGATATTTCAGACACATACATATACTTAATATAAATTACATACATTGAGTTCTCAAAAGAGCTATATGATGTATGAATTATTATCTTTATCTTCAGATAAAGAAATTTAAAATCTGAAGGATTAATTAATTTGCAAAGACTTCTAAAATTATATCAAAGCCTGGATTTTATCCTAATTCTGTTTCCAATGCTCATGCACTTTCTACTATGGTATATTTTTTCTTAACATAAACATTTTGGATTAGGAAGAAAACCAATACAAAACTGGATCACTGTTAATTGAAACAATAGAGACTGAATGCTTCCTTATTTGTCTTAATCAAATCTTCTGTCCTAACTATCCAACTGAATAGGCTCATTTTTTCTCTCTGTTCAGTTCAAATCCAGTCAAATACCCACATGATCAGCCTCAATCATAATTTGTAGGCAAAACATGATTCGGTCCTGTCATCTCAGAAATGAGGATTTTGAGACTAAGACTCAAATGAAACTGAAGTAGCACAAAAAATAATAGTTAGAATTAGAGTCCTAGCCTCCCAACTCCTGCTCAGTTGTGCTAGTCAAAATTTTTGGCATTACCTGTTTGTTTGTTTGCTTGTCTATTTTACATGTAAATTTTTTCTCTCACTTAACCAGCTGTCTTTGAATTTTCTGGGTAGAGTTTATTTACACTGTTACTTTCAAGTAGCCATACATGCTGAAATATTCTTATGTACTGCTTACTATTTATTTCTTTTGAAAGTTTTCTCTTTAACAAGTTTATTCCACAGTCTTTCATGAAATATTTATTTGGTACCTGCTTTGAATAGACACTGTAAAGTATTAGTAATTCATAGCAAAGAATTAGGAATTTTGTGGTAACTTATGAGAAAACAGAAGGAATTCCTGCCTTTTGACAGCTATAGTCTGATAAGTTAAACTTATGATTTTCAGTCAGTTTTTACCACCAAGACAGCCAAGTCCAGTACCACATCTGTCAATTTCTGCTAAATGTATAAAGCATTTATTCATTATTTAATGTTTTCTAGAATACATGTAACTTTTATTAAGGGGCCCTGAAGTATACATTTTAATTTGCTTGAGTACATTTATATTTCTATATACAATTTTAATTTTATCCACAAGGAAAACTTATAATACTACAAATTTTGAAATTAGGTGAAGAGAAATATTAATATTGCTTTATAGCTATTTTTTTTACAAGTAATACTATCCAAATCAATGGGAAATGGACTTTGCTGGAAAAAGTCCCTTTTTCCTCTAAAGGTAGGTCCAAATTCTAAAAGTCCAAATTTATTTTAATCAGGTAACAAATGGTGTTAGGCCAGCCTTAGATAAACTATTGAAGAAAAAAACTCAGTAAAAAAAAATAACCTATATATTCTCTCAGATATGATAAGGCTATAATACAGAAAAAGAGGGGGAGTGTGGAGAGAAAATATTTTAAAACATGGCATGTCAGGTAGGACTTTATTCTGCAGCAGAAAGCATCATCCTAATTTAAAAATCAAATAATATATTATTAGGCTCCTTAGAAATTATTTTGATAGAACTTAATTAAATTATAGTGCCTACTAAAAGCATTTATTGCTCAAATTACAGGCCCTCACAGGGATTTAACACTTTACCAGGAAATGAACAGAAGTCTTTCCAAATTAAAACGAGGGCCACCCTTTCTGAAACATTTTAAGTCACTCTTAATTGTAGTTTAAGTCATTTGTTTTGAGTATTGTCATTTTCTAGAAGTTTTCAATAAAATCAAATAACGATGCCTCACATTTCAGATTCACAAAGGCTTTGTGAAATCTCGTTTTGTTTAAATACTTCATTTCCTTCTTGATTTCTGTTCTGATCTGGTGTTGACAGAGAATTGTCTCCTCTGGATCCTGATTTGCTTTGCTACTTTGTTTCTCTGAAGTAGGCACACAGAAGCCAGTGCCTCTCCCATAGTCCACCCCTTCCTGGGTTGTGGAATAAAAGTAATACAAGTGCTGACAGTTGTAAACAAAACAAATCACTGAATTATATTAAACTTTGAGAATAAGTCAAATTTTTAAAATATCTGTAAATGAGATTACACTGGTTTATACATTTATATATTGAATTCAGAAATACTTTCACAAAATATTTTACTGGCCTTCAAAAATATAATCCTTCCTTTCTGAAAACAGGTTAATAGTGCTTTAAATTGTTTTTCAATTTTTCTGGCTTTTCTTTTCATGCCTGAGTGGATCTCTAGGAGTATAGATGGTGGCATTTAGATATTCTGACTAGAAAATAATAACAAAATGATGATTGTGTATACTTATATGGCTTTTCCTATGTGCAAGGTATCCTTCAATGATTTTACATATATTAGCCCATCACTCTTCATCTAGACCCTATCATTTAAGTACTATGTATGATCCCCACTTTAGGAATGAAGTGGGGGACAAAATCCCACAGCTGATGAAGCATAGAGCTCAGATTTGTACCCAGGCCAGTTAGCTGTGGAGTTCTGTCACACGGAGAGGACAATAATTCTTGGAATTACTGGAATAAGAGAAGCACCGTGGTGGGAAAGGAAGGATGCTTGCCTTCCAGTCTGTGACACTTAAGAGATGATTCCCAAGACTGATCAGATTTGCAGCTTTCCAGAGTGGTTCTAAGCACATGTGTTTCTTCACATGTTTACATTTGTAATTGTGGCACCTACATCAATAGATTGTGCAAGACACCCCACCTACCATCTGGAAGACAAAGGGACATCATTTAACATGATGGGGAAGCCATTCTCATGATTGAAACCCTAGTTGGAAGTTCTTTCATATGTTAGTCGCGCAAAGGTCTCTGAATGTGCAGTTGTCTGTGAAAATGCCCATAGTTTTGGTTGAGCCTACTTGTATTCAGACACATCTAGATGGGGTTCCATCCTGGGAATTCAGAAATATTTTTTTACTTAAAATCACCAAACCACAATGTAGGTAAATTATATACAAATCTGAAAAATCTAAGAATTTTAGCTGTCCTAATTCACTTTCACTGGGTGCTGCCAAGGACAATCTGGTCACAGATGACCACACCAGGGTTACAATTGTGTTTTGATAACCAGAGGCTTAGCTGTCCAAATCTTTCCACATTGGATTTTTGTTTTTGTTCCCTCCCAACTCATATCAGTTTTCTTGGGACTTTCCTGGTTTTAGTACTGAAATAACTGTTTCCCAGGAACCTCTCAATCATTGGCAAATAAGGGCAGAAAGAAACTCTACTTTCTCCTGACACTTTTCATATCCCTTTCTTTTTCTCTCTACCCCAGCCATATGTTTGTATATGTACTTGGTTGGAGGAGACATTGTAGACTTCCTCTACAATTTATTCTCTAGTCATTGTAAAATCTGGGGGCTCAGACTACAAAGAGTTCCTGAGAAAATTTTGAAAATTTGTATTCTCTAAATTACACTAACTGTAAACTTTATGCAGGCTTATATATTTCTTTGGTATATTTACCTCTAATTACAAAAGTAGTAACTGGTAAAGCCTATATTTATTAATATCTCTCTGAAAAAGCCATAAAAAGAGCATTTTAAATTCCTTTGTTTATTAAAATCACAAAATATAACTGACAAGGTTCTGGAACTACAAAAATAACTACAATTAATGATGTGTGTATGCTTTTCCCAACCAAGTTAGATAAATATTTCTACCTAAGTAAAGTAATACTGGTCTGCATATTCTATGCAGAGAGTTCTATATGACACATATACACATACAGGAGTTTTATATATTTTGCTGATCTTTAAGTTATTTCTTATTCCTTTGGATCCTGGGTTCTTAAATTATTAAGATTAAACTCAAATTAAGACAGACCTTTTTTCCACGAAAACAGTTATTTAAGACTGAAAACAACATGAGATATAACAATAAAAAAATGCATTGAGAGTTACTGTATGGCAGGTACTGTTTTAAGTGATTTTTGTGTGTTAGTCAAATCCTCAAAACCCACTAAGATTGGTACTATTATTATCATCTGCACTTTACTCTTGACCGCTTTACCCTATGGATAAGAGAAGTGATGTCACTTATCCAAAGTCGCTGAGCTAGTAGGTATGGAGCTGAAATTCCAACCCAACAGTCTCTTTAGGGCCTATAACAGTACCCACTATGCCATCTGAATCTTCAAATATAGGGAACATAACTGATGGTGGAAATGAATACAGAAGTTAGAGAGTGGTTAGACTATATTAAAAGAGAAATTTAAATTGTTAAACCTCATTGAGCTCACTTATTTCATTTTCCTTTCCTGGGCAGAGTGTGGTGGCAGACTGAAAGTGGAATCAAAACCCAGAGATCTGTACTCACATGCTCAGTTTGGTGATAACAACTATCCAGGACAAGTTGACTGTGAATGGCTGTTAGTGTCAGAACGGGGCTCTCGACTCGAGTTATCCTTCCAGATTTTTGAAGTGGAAGAAGAAGCCGACTGTGGCTATGACTATGTTGAGCTCTTTGACGGTCTCGATTCAACAGCGGTGGGGCTTGGTCGATTCTGTGGATCAGGGGTAAATACAGTACGAGCAGGATACCATAGACATGATAAAAATGCCTATAAATTGGTGATTGATATGTGTAACATATGCAAATCAGCAGTGCTTTTACAAAATGGCTTGACAAGTTATAACATGCCTCTTCTTCCCTTACTTCTCCATCTCTAATGAATTTGCTCAATAATATTGAACAAGACAGATGAATTCAATAGCTATAATTTCTTGTTACTGTCCACATCCTTTTTTAATTCATGTTTTTATTGTGCAATAAATATTTAAATGTTTAATTATCTAAAAGAAATATGCCTAAATACACACCTTTGACAATTTTGTAAGCTTCATAAATTAAAGCATAAAGCAAAAAGAATATGCACATCATTGGCATTCCTCTCTCAACAATATATTTGATAAGTGACAGTATCTACCATTGGTGTGGGGGTAGAGCCGGTACTATTGAATGTTGCTCCATTGCAGTGGGCACAGGACGGAGTACAAAACATAGGTCAGAGGTTGTCAACATGAGAAATAAGAAACAGGAAAGCTTAAGGTTTTCTCAATGCTTTTCCCCCACGATTCACTGCATTAATATCAAATGTTCTTCTGAATACATATTTTGTTCTGAAGATATTAGTCCCATTTTTCAAATGTCTACCAGTGACCATTTCTTAAATAATATTGAACTCCTGTCCAAATAGCTACTGAAATGAAACAAAAATTATTCTTGGTACTTAGATTATTAAAGCAAGAAGGAATGGATGATTTGGATTCTGGAAGTGGCTCTGCCTCAGAGCATCTTCTGAAATAGATTTAATGTCCCTTTATCCTTTGTGAACCTCACTTTAATTACTTGTAAATCAAAGGAAATTGGCTTAAAATTTTGGGAAAAAACACCAAGTTTCAGAACTTGGAAATAAACTTAATTATGTTCAAAGCTCAGCTATATCACTGATCAGGCTTGTGATCTTGAGCATGTCATCTGTTCTCTGAAACTCAAGTTTTCTCATCTGTAAAATAAAGTCACTCTTATCCACTTTTCAATGTTGTTGGGAGGTTTAAATTATATACCAAAAAAATTCCCAAACATGAATTACACTGAAGAAAAAATAATTCATTCTTGTTGTTTGTTTATTTGTTTTGTTTGTTTTTGTCTTCAGCCACCAGAAGAGATCTATTCAATTGGTGATACAGTTTTAATTCATTTTCACACTGATGACACAATCAGCAAGAAAGGATTTCATATAAGATACAAAAGCATCAGATATCCAGATACCACGCATACCAAAAATTAACACCATAACCTCCATCAAAACATAAAGGAATGGGCATAATGGAAAGAAGATGTATTTCTTTTTTAAATGAAGATTTTAGCACAAAGTTTTATATAATGAGTTTGAGCAGAAGAAAACTGCAAGACCAGAATTATCTTTGTACTAAAAGAGAAGTTTCCAGCTAACCCTGATCAACATTACCAGGATATCTGAACTTCATTCTTGACAGTATAAATATAAATAAAGTTGGCGAAAGGGCATCTCATGCTTCAAAGAAGACTTCACAATCCTTTGTTCACAGCTCACCATAGCTGCTTCACAATTCAGACAGTCCCATTCAGGGTCTGTGACCCTGCAGAGTGTCCGTTTTGACAATTTTTCAATATATGGGAAAAGTAAAATGACCTTGCAGGTCATAAACTGGAATACCCTCTCCTTGTATCTTAGGATAATTGCTTTGACTTTGGATCTTGAAGACAGTGTAAACCAGACCCATATAAGTTGTTGTGAAGTGGAAGTCTCTTGAGGGTGGTTTATACTTTAAATGTGGGTATGACCAATGCTTGGAAACTGGAATATTTCAGCTTCATTATTTTCACTTGCAGGCTAAATTTACCTCTTTGAAACATAAATGATCTCGAGACCATGTCGTTTTTGTGACATTCTGACAAGTTTGAAATGTCAGTACTGTCTATCATTGCAGTTAACTCTAGATATCATTTATTTAAGTGCTGGAAAATGCCCAATTGATTGGTAAACTCAGTTCTTTCAGTGAAAGTGCTGTCTTTTCATACCAAATTCAAGAAGGCTTGTGATGTCTTATGAACTTGATGAGACAACTCCCAACAGGTGTGAACAGGATTCTTCTAAGCGACTGCCTGGATGGTTCATACTCAAGTTCCACTGCTGCTATTGTCATTCTTTTGTTGTTGATCTGTTGTAGTTAATGTTGATGTTGTCATTGTTAATGTATTTTTTTTAATGAAATGAAATGAAGTGGAAGTAGGCCTTGTTAGAATTGAAAGATCTCTTTCTTTCTCTTCCTAGAAATCAGTTTTTTTAAATGCAATGTTGAAAAAAAAAAGGATTTGTTTCATGGTGCTAGTCCATAAACATTTTTTTAAACAAAGTTTTTGACCTTTGAGCCAACCACCTGTAGACTATGAATGTCTCTGTCTGGCTGGTAGCACTTGAAGACTAAAGACTTAATGTATCAAGAGTATATCATTGCAAGGGCAACACTTGTCCTGTGGAACAACTGCTTATATTGCCTTAGAATTCTTTCACATGATCGAGCAGATCCTCCTAAGAGACACAACTTTTGAAAAGTTGAACATAATAGTGTATGTTAATTAGCATTTCTATGAGGAAAATCCATTTCTGTGACTGAGAGCATTGGATATAAGTATGGTGACCTGCTTTTATGGTAGAAAATGAATTTTCTGCTTTAAAGGCAGGTTTTTAAAAAAATATTAATGTATGTATATGTGAGGTTGTCTGAATGAGTGGAGTTACAAGGAGGTGAAAAGTAGTGGGTGGTTGAAAAGTTTAAACTTACGTGCCAATTTCTACTAAAATCCTATTTAAAGTAGCACCTTTCATAGGACGTTTCATGGACAAATAATGGGAACTTCTAATTATTATCAACCCCATTTTAAAAAGGCTCCTTCCTTCAGAGAAACTCTATTTTCATATTTTTTGATGTTGATATAGATTGCTATATGAAGTAGCTTTTGTTCTGTTACCTGTCCATGAACATTCAACATTTAATAAAATTGAGAATTTTTCTTCATTTTACAAAATTAAACTATACATACAGATTTAGCTTATTTGGTTTTTTTTTGTCATTGTTGCCTTGGAAATCTTTTCTTGCATATGAATTTTATTATGTAAATACATTTTTAAAACCAATCTTTTGATCTTACTGAATGTTACTTTGGAAATGTATAACTAACGCCTGCAATATAATGAGCTTTTTAGTGGAGCTGATTTATTCCAGTAACTCTTCTATATTTTTTTTCACTAATCTCCAGTTAGCCAAAATATTGGGAATGGGAATTAGAGGAGAAAAATACATTAACACCTAATATACTACACTGTGCCCAGCCCAGTACTAGGCACATACACTAGCTCTTTTTAACCTTTATGCCACCCTTTGAGAACTGTGGTGATGTTCTCATTTTGTGGTTTAGGAACTGAGGCTCAAAGAAGGCATATAATGTTCCCAGGGTCACAGTGTAAAGTTAGATGTTAAAACCCAGATTGTTTGATATAAAAATCTGTGTTTGTTCTACAAAATGTAGTAGAATCAATCTTGACCTATATAAATAGTAGATATATTTTATGATGAAACTTCTCCACATAAAGTCAATTTTAGAGGTGAATTACGGTAAAACTTTCAGGATAAGCATTGTTCCTTTCAATAATAGCATGACAATTCAAATATCAACTGTAGATATCTTTAAGAACCATAGATAGTACTAGAAATGTGAAAAATAAAAAAACTACTATATAGTTTGGAGTTAGTAACTATGGGCCTTTTGTTAAAATAAATATATTAAATTATTTTATCTGGTGTGGTAGGAGAAATGTAGTGTTCTACTTTAAGAAATATTGTTAATATTCTGACTGACATCTTATTAGGCCACAATGAGCTGCCTTTGACACAACTGAGAAATAAAATATTTAGAAGGCACACCACAGAGATGTTGTCATAACTTAGGTCTTCAATGGGAACATTAAATTGTACCTTATGTCAGATATCAGCTCACTGAATATTATTTTTATATTAATTCGACTTTGGCTTAAGTGTGTTGTTAAATTCAAACACAAACAGCTTCGTTGTTATTGTGTTAATAATTGTTAATTACTGTTCTAGGCATTTTATTAGTTTTGTAAATTTATTTTCAACCTCTACTCTCTATCTGCCAAAGTTCTAACTCCTATACAATCCTCACTAACTATACATAGAAAAAAACTGCTCCCACTTTACATGATTTTACTAATTATTTTTAAATTCAATTTTGAATATTAATCTAGTTTATTTAGGAAATCTTAACAACTGAACAAAACAACATTTTTAAATAAATATATGAGAAACAGCAATTCTATTTCCAAAGTCTCCAAATGTCCCCTGCCTGTGTTGGCTGAATTTTTGCTATCTTGGATTAATTTTAGTATACCACAGTTATCAGATTCAAATTCTGTTCAATTTTGTTTTTAAATGTCTTAGTCTCTTTTGTTTGGTTTCTATTACTATATTTTTGATAGTAAGCCTCAGATAATGAAATTTTATTCTCACATATAGAAAATCTCTAAAAGCATCTAATTACTCTTCACAAGGCTAAAATTTTTTTAAAAGAAACATTAAATTACATATTTCTTTAGATTTAGTAAACTATAGCCATGTGTGACATTAAAAATAACTTTTCTTAAAGCAATTAACCAAATGTTTGGAAATTTTATTTAACAATAATTTTATTTAGCAAGAATATTTTGGATAAAGGAAAACCTTAATACCACTTATTAAATCCTGCATGGGAGGAAGAAAACAGGAAAAATAATTACCATATAAAGATCTATAACTTGAGCTGCAGTGATGACTTCTGTTTTACTAGAAAAAATATGTAATATGAGCTTATCAAAAAGAAAGAAAAGATGGTCTATGGATGCATTTTTACATCAATGCATAATAAATGGTTACCAATGAACATTTAACTTTTAGTCTTTTAGTGCTATTGTTATAAAATTGATAAATTTTGTCATTAGCTTAGGAAATGATGGAAAGGCTGGCTCTTATACAATGTGAAATATTATTATTAGTCTCCAAACTTTCTTTTGACATGTACTTTTTAAATTGTTCAGCTTTCAACCTACCTACATTTCACTCACCACCAGTGTACTCAAACTGAATTCAGGCTTACCAGGTAATTCTAGTCAATACCATGACACCTACTTGGTGCAGAGGTCAACACATGGTGATTCCAAACAGTGTATAGGGCCCTGAGCATGTCTCATATGTATAATCTCCCTCTCGTCCAATATTTTGAATACAAATTCAGTGCAATAAATCTCAACTTCTAACTTTAGAAGACTTGTAGGTAAAATATTACTTGGGTTAAAGCCTATAAAAAGAGAAGACCTAAGCACCAACCTGTAGTGTAAGACATGTGGATAGAAGGCCCTGGCAGCTGGGTCTTCTCCTGCATTTGCTGCCAGAGCAGAGGTGGTTGAAGTGGCAGGGAGAGGTCCATTTCAAGGAATGCCCTTAAAATTATTTAAACAGGAGAACACCCAGAAAGGACAAATAAAGTGAAAGGATTATAGATAATAAGGCTTGAATATGTAAATCTATCCTAAAGCAATATTTAATGGACATTCCATAGAGGAATATAATTAAAAATTAAATTTCAGAAAAATTTTCCACAGAGATGTAATAAATTTGTTAAAGTCATTTTTACACCATTGTACATCTATTAGTTGTGTTTGAGTTTCATGGAAATAGAGTCTTTTGTATTAATTTTTGTCATTTTTAAGCCAAAAGACATAGACATTTATTTATTCAACAAATATTTGCTTAATTCCTATAATATGCTAAGCACTATGTTAAATATTAAGAATTTAATGAGACTTTAAAAAGAAAAACAATCACAATCTTTTCTTTCTTGAAAGTTAAATTCTAGTTGGAGAGATAAATATTAATATTAATTAAAAGCAAATCACAAAAAGTCATAATTGCAATATAAAACATGCATGTGCAGAATTCCCTGGCAGTTCAGTGGTTAGGATTCCATGCTTCCACTTCAGGGCGCACAGGTTCGATCCCTCATCAGGGAACTAAGATCCCACATGCCGCTGTGGTGCAGCCAAAAAAAAAAAAATGCATGTGCATTTTACTACCATTTGGGGGGCACTCTTCCAAACAGCATGGTTTGGATTTTGAGACAAGTATTAACATAAGCATCCTTTCCTTATCCTTGATTTTCCACTGTCTTCTTACTTACATTTGTGCTTTCTAAAATTTCAACTTTTGTGTAAAATAACTTATTTTTGCATCAATCACATATTTTCAGCTTATAAATGAAATTATTTATTCTCATGATGAGCAATGAGAGTGGGATAACATATCAAAATTCTGATATTTATTTATGTAATTATTTAATAAACAAAACTAAACAATGTAATTTTATAAAAAGCACTGCCTATGGAGGTGGCCAAGATGGAGAATCCTGACTTCACCTCCTCCCATGGACACATCAAAATTACAACTACTCACAGAGCAACTCTCTATGAGAACAACCTGAAAACTAGTAGAAAAGATTTTCCACAAAGACATAAGGAAGAAACCACAACGAGAAGGGCTGGAGGGGTAGAGACAAGACATAGTCAGACCCACAACCCACCAGTCAGCAAAACACAAAAGTATAGAATATCACAATTGTAGATGTCGTCCTCAAAGAGCAAGGGGTCCAAGCCCCACATCAGGCTACCCCACCTGGGGGTCGTGTGCCAGGAAGATGAGCCCCTAGATTATCTGTTTTTGAAAATCAATGGGGCTTGTGTGCAGGAAAGCCAGAGGGACATAGGAAAGAGAGCTCCACTCTTAAAGGGCACACACAAAATCTCACATGCTATGAGACCCAGTGCAGAGGCAGTAGTTTGAAAGAAGCCTTGGTCAGACCCATTTCCTGATCTTGGATATCTTCCCAGAGGGGTAGGAGGCAAATGGAACTCCCGCTCATGATATAGACACTAGCAGCAGATATTATTGTCAGCTCATTCCAATGGAAAAACATTGGCACTGGCAAGCACAATTTTGGAATCCTCCTTCTAGCTTAATAGGGCCATGGACCCAGCTCTGCTCGCCAACAAGACCCAGCCTACCCCCAGATCACACACAGATTATCATATTAAAATATCATATTAAAATAATCATATATATGGGGTTATATATGACCTCATGGTAACCACATCCAAATTATAATAGGTACACATGCAAAAAAGTGAAGAGAATCCAAACATAATGTTAAATAAAAATTGTCCTCAAATCACAAGGGAAGAGAGCAAAAGAAGAAGAAAGGAACAAATAAAAATTAGAAAAACAGCCTGAAAACAATTAGCAAGATGACAACAAGTACATACCTATAATTAATTACTTTAAATGTAAATGGACCAAATGCTCCAGTTAAAAGATATAGAGTGGCTGAATGGATTTTTAAAAAGATCCATATATATGCTGCCTATAAGATACTCACTTCAGATTTAAAAACACACACAGACTGAAAGTGAGGGGATGGAAATAGGTATTCCATGAAAACGGAAATGAAAGGAAGCTGGGGTGGCAATATTTATATTAGACAAAATAGACTTTAAAACAAAGACTATAATAGGAGACAAAGAAAGACAGTTCCTAAGAATCAGGGATCAATTCAACCAGAAGACATAACAATTGTATATTTATATGCACCCAACATAGGAGCACCTAAACACATAAAGCAAATATTAACAAACATAATGACAGAAATTGACAGTAACACAATAATAGCAGGGGACTTTAAGACATCACTTACATCAATGGATGGATAATTCAGACAAAAAGTAAGGTAACACTGACCTTAAATGACACATTAGATCAGATGGAATTAACAAACATACACAGAACATTCTTACTAAAAGCAGCAGAATACACATTCTTTTAAAGTGCACTTGGAACGCTCTCCAGGATAGATCACATGCTAGCCCTCCAAAAAAATCTCAGTAATTTGAAGAAGATTGAAATCTTATCAAACATCTTTTCCAAACACAACAATATGAGACTAGAAGTAAACTACTAGAGAAAAACTGAAAAAAAAATGGAAACACATGGAGGCTAAACAATAAGCTACTAACATCAAATGGGTCAATGCAGAAATAAAAAAGGAAATAAAAAATACCTAAAATAAATTAAAATGGCAACA